AGAAGAAGAAGAAGAAGAAGAAGAAGAAGAAGAAGAAGAAGAAGAAGAAGAAGAAGAAGAAAGAAGAGACAGCCCGGTGAAACAGATGGGCAGCCTGTTCAAAATCACTGTTGTCTTCCCAGCCCAGGGAACCAGGACTGAGTTTGTGCTGCTTCGTTAACTATTTACTCTGTCTCGCACTCAGGACTTGAGTGAAGCGGCTGTGCCTCATGCTAAGGGGGAGGGGTGCAAATGGAACTTTTCCCCCTTGGTATCCGGTGCCCTAAAGCCACCCCTCACTCCAGACATCTGGACAGCGTGGAGACTCACCCCGTTCCTAGTCTGAAGAAAGAAGGGGACAGCCTGCCCTCCTCTCTGTCCGCTGCTGCTGTCTCAAAGAAATGGTGTCCTATTGACCCATTTCCTCCTCCTCATTTCCCATTTCCTTCTGAAGAGACTGCGTTCAGCCGTTACCACCACCACCTGTCTTATTGAACTAATGTATCACAAAACTCCAGAGACACTTTAAAGGCTTTGATTTATTAACCAGGTCTTAGGTACACAGTGCAGGCCACGCTCTCCATCCTGAAACATCTCCTTTGTCTTCTGGGATACTACAAGCTACGGCCTCCCCTCTTTCTCTCTCTCTTATGCCCCTTCCCAGGCTCCTTTGTGAGCCAGGATCTTCTAAACATGAGGCCTTGAGGAATTGAAATAGATGCACTTAAGGATAGAAAGATAACTCAGTCGTCATTTCTGTGAAGCTTTGTGCCCTCTGGTCACATTTTCTGAAAGCTAGCAGGAGAGTATAGGCCCAGTTTTTTGTTTTTAGTTTTATTTTTTTTATATGTGTAAGTATATATATTGTGTGTGTGTGTGTGTGTGTGTGTGTGTGTGTGTGTGTGTGCCAGCACATCCCAGGAGATGGTATAGGACACACACACACACACACACACACACACACACACACAGCTGGAGTTCAGGTGGTTGTGGGCCTGAGAACCGAACTCTGATCATCTGGAAGAGCAACAAAAGCTTTTAACAGCTGATCCATTTTCCGACTCCCAAGACCTGTGTCTTTAAGTGAATTTTTTTCTTGTTCAAGCCCAAATCTTACACCATAAAGTTCATTTATTTCTTAAAATAGTACTGCTTTACATGTATTTTATGATGTTACTTATTTCATATATGTCTTTTTATACCACATGTTTTTAAATGCTAATGGCATAAATATAAGGTAACATTGAACCTCAACATCTAATACACTCTAAGGTGAAATGCACCTTAAGTGATGTAATAAATACATGACCAAATCTCATAAAATATATATTTGAATTGTATTACTTCATTGAATAAATTCATAAATTAACAATAAAACAAAACTATTTAGAAAATGTAAGTACTGAGCATTTATAATTATTAAAGACCATTTTTCTTTAAAAGATAATTGTAAGAAACAAACAACATATTGTGGAGATTATAACATGTCAGAGCTAAATGTATGACAGTAATAAAAAGGATATAAAGGAGAACATGGATGTATCTGGCTAAAAACTCTTTGCAGGATGTGTGATAAACATATTTTAAATACATACAAGCCAGCTGTGTTGGCTGCCTTTTAATCCCAGTAATCAGCCAGAAGCAGGCCTGTGAGTTCAGGGGTCGTTTGGGCTACATAGTGAAATTCTGAGATGCTATCAAAACAGAGAGGGGCAGGGAAAAGGATAGGAAACCTCAATAACAATGTCAACCAGTTAAGATTTCTAGAGCACTATGTGCAACAATAGCAGAATATCTATCTTTTTCCTTCACTTGCACATGTAAAAATCACTAGAAGGGGCTGGAGAAATGTCTCAGCGGTTAAGAGCACGAGCTGCTCTTTCAGAGGTCCCAGGTTTGATTCCCAGTGTCTACATGGCAGTTCACAACCGCCTGTAACTCCAGCTCCAGGAGATCTTATACTTTTTTTTTTCTGTCCTACTCAGGCACCAGGTACATAAATGGTGCATAGACATACATGCAAACAAAACACATATATTTTTAAATTGTAATGACCGTGTATGGTACATAAAACAAGTGAACACATTTTAAATGATTGAACTTATACAGCTATACTCTCTGACTCCAGTGGAATTACAGTAGAAATTAATCACAAAAAGATAGAAGTACCAAAATATGGGAAAATTAAGTAACATTATTTTAATGACATGCTAGGAATTTGAAATCACAAAGGGATTTATAAAATATTTTGAAATCTTAAAGGGAAACGACAACTCACCTACTACAGCAAATACATCAGAATAACATGCAGTCTTCCATGGCAACCCTAAAAGCTAGGAAAATGTGAAACAGTGTATCCCAACCCTGAAAATAAATAACTGCCAACTAAGACTGCGATAGCCAACAAAGCTGTCTTTTGAACCTGATAGTGAAATAAGACATTTAAAAACAGACATCGAGGGCTGGAGAGATGGCTCAGCTGTTAAAGGCTAGGCTCACAACCAAAAATATAAAAACAGACATCGACTAGGGCAATTCATGACCACCAAGCCAGCACTCTGGCAGATTCTTAAAGAGATGCTATACACAAAGACACAGAGAAAGAAATCCTAATTACAATACCACAAAAGTGAGTAAATTTCATGATAGGAATGGATAAACAAAAGAGACCTTAAAAGGAATTCATTATGTCAACACACTAAATCAGCAAACCCCTAATACTAACAGAAGAGCGATAAATGAATAAACAGTATCCTTCAAAAGGAGTAACAACCAATAAAATCACAGGAATTAGTAAATGACCCCTAACTGTTACATCGCAGTGGTTCCAAAACATCACCAAACAGGTACAGACTGGCTGACCGGATTCAAAGACTAGAGCCTGCAAGATTACCTGGTGAATAAAGACACTTACACCTAGTGACCTAAGTTCCTAGAGCCCATGTAAAGATCTGACTCCACAAAGTTGTTCACTGGCCTCCACATCCATGCTACATATCATACACAAAAAATAATAATAAAGTTTTTTAAAACTAAATTCAACTTCCTCTTGTCTCCAAGAAACACACCTACAGACTAAAAGTCAAACAATAGACTCCAATCTATCAAGCAACTAAAAGCCAAAAACAGGCTAATTGTAACTATCGTGATATCTGATAAAGTAGACTTCAAAATTAGAAGAAATGACCACTACATACTAATAAAAGGAATTCCTATCAAGAAGACATAACGCATGTAAATGTATGTGCACTGAATGGTGGGTCTCCTCATTTCAAAAACTAAACACAATGAATATAAAAGGTCTGATAAGTCTTGATACAATAATAGTAAGTAACTTCAAAACCCCACTCTTATCTTTAAATAGGTCATTCAAACTAAAACCAAGAGAGAAACCAGCGTTTTACTACGCCTTAAATCAAATGGACCTAACAAATATCTACAGAGCATTCCATCCATCAGAAATGAAACACAGTCTCAGCAGCCCATGGAAACCTTCTCTAAAATATACCATCCTATGTCACAATTAACAAATACAAAATTGTGGATCTTCTCAGGTCATAATGGGATAAACCAGAAATCAGTAGCAACAGAAACTATAGACTTCATAAACACTTGGAAGACTGAACAATACACCCTTGAGTGATCAGTGGGTCACTGAAGAAATCAGAAGGAAATGTTTGAATTCCCAGAATCAAATGGGAATAAAAGCACAGCTTACTAGAACCTCAGTGATACACCTAAGGCAGGTCTAAGAAGAGCTGTAACTATGAGTGACTGCATTTTTAAAAGTCTGATCTCACATAAATAACCTAATGATGCAATAGAAGTCAGAAAAATAAGAACGAGCCAAACCCAAAAGTAGTGGGTAGAAAGAAATAGTAAAGATCAAAGCAGAGACCAATTGAATGGAGGTTAAAAGAATAATAAACAACAAAAATTTTATTCTCTGAATAAAACAGAAGATTTTGTCAAAGCTCCAGGCAAACTAGTCAAAAGAAATAAGAACCCCAAATTGATAAAATTGCAGATGGAAAGATGGAGGTTATAACAGATTCCAGTGAAATCCAGAAAATCATTGAGAAGTGTTTTGAATTTTTTTATTCCAAAAAACTGGAAAATCTAGAAGAAACTGATAGCTTCCTAGGCACATATTACCTACCAAAATCAAATGAAGATGTAAAGAACTTAAGTAGATCCGTATCAAGCAATGGGTTTAAAGTAGTAATAAGAGGCTCCCCGCCAAACCAAACTAGTGAGGACTCATGCACTGTGGACCAATAGCTGTAGAGACTCCATGGAACTAGACTAGGCCCTCTACATAAGCGAGATAGTTGTTTAGCTTGACCTGCTTAAGGGGCCCCTAGCAGTGGGATCAGAATCTGTCTCTGCTGCATGAGCGGGCATTTTGGAGCTCAGTGCCTGTGGTGGGACACTTTATACAGCCTTGGTTAAGGGGAAGGGACTTGGACCTGACTCAACTGAATGTACCAGGCTCTGCTGACTCCCCATGGGAGTCTTTGCCTTGGAGGAGGTGGGAATTGGGGGTGGATTGGTGGGAGGCTGGGGGACACCTGTGGTTGGAAAAAAAGAAAAAATGTACTTTGAGTAGTTGGTTATGATGTTAAAAGTTTTCAGGTATGGTGAAGCAAATTTGTGACTGCTTGGGTGAATTTTGTGATTCTTCCTTCTT